TGATGACCGATAAGATCATAAGCAAATTTGAAATGCATCTCTGCATTTGAAACTCATTTAAAAACAAAACTTGTTTTATCTTACACAACTTCATCTTACAGTACTGTATTAAACAAGTTCCGAAACTAGTTTTATGTGTTGAAATATATTAAACTAGTTTAGTATGTTTCAATAGGCCGACGCCGACGACTTAAGATCAAGTGAAGACTATATCGTTCTGGACGTAACACTTTTTAAAGCGCCTAGTTTTGTCAAAGTCCATTCTTGTCGATATTTTTGCTCTTTGTTGTTAGTTAGTGATGCCTTTTTTCACTTCACCTGTCCATTTTCTGGATTAGTGATGCAACATTAAAACGATACAGAAAAGTGTAGAAAATAGCTTAGTATTATTCTTAATGTTTCAATCAAGTTTCTCATTAAATGCTTATATATTTAAAGAAATGTTGTTATATATGATGTTTACTTTTTTAAATAGTGTGGAATAATTAAATATTTAGCAAGTGATTTGTTAAATGAATGCAAACAAGGTCCATGGTTTGAATATCCACTATTAATCAAACTGCACGATAATTGTTCTTTATAGTGATTAGGCAAAAAGTATTCGGCGTTTTTCAGTGTAGTTGGTTTTAAAGTGCAATGTATCTGAATACACTGGATTTTAATTTTAGGGAAATATACCTATTATATGTATAGCACTTTTAAATGTAATTAATTTTTAATTGAATTATTTTAAAAATATTTTGTTCAGTGTACGCAAGTACAATGCAATTATTTTATTAGCTACTCCTACTGGATAAATGTTGTAGAAGTGCTGGCTTAGCATGCAATTAAGAAATTAATATTATCCCTTTTGGTGTAAAATGTTTGAGTTTATTTTAACACTGGTTGATTTTTAAAAACTTTTGCTTATAATTAATTAATTTAAATTCTTTCAAAGAAAATGGAAAATTTTTAGATTTGATTTTTTGTAATCATATGCACAAAAACATATTAAACTTTAATGCAGTATGTTTATATTATTTAATATTATAAATTGATAAATACCATATTAATTGATAGTTATAATGATTAGGCTAAGAAAAAATGATTTCAGCAATACTATGACATTGAATAAACTATTATTTTAATTCACATTAGTTAAATCATATTTCTTATCTTATCATTTGAACAATTAATATAACTTTCAGAATTTTTAACATGGAATGGCTGCAATATCTTAGTGTGTCGCTATTAAAATAAATAAAAGAATCTTTATTTCAAAATATCTTGCTAGCTTTAGCTATCTTAACCATTCCTTATAGACTTTGAACTATATTTATATTGCCATTTTATTACTACTAACATTAGCTTACACCCTCTACTCAAGTCTCTTCAAGACTGCAGCTATAAATTAATATTAAATAAGTTCTGCAGTGAAACCAAATACATAAATACATAAGCTAATACTCATAAGTTAATAAAAAATTTATTTTAGGGTTTTGAAGAAAAAAAAAATTCAATAATTTTATGCTTTTTTATTAAGGAAAACTTCGTAAAACTCAATGTCAACTTGTCATTGAACATTGTCACTCATACGCAGTGGGGAAGTTCAAGGATTGAAAGGTTAAAACAAAAGCAAACGTACGTATGTGCAATTGTGCATTTGGAACTAATTATGATTGTGCAGTAAAGTAACTATGGTGAATGGTGGTTCGCGGGATTGTTGGGCCAATGCATTTGGATGCAGGGCAGTTGCAGTTGCTCTTGATGTGCACAGTAAACAGTTGCCATTAGTGTTGCTGCTGCGGGTGCACATCCTACAAATGCCAGTACTGCATTCCATATTATTTTATTAACTTTTTTTTACGTCTGTTTGATATTTTTACTGTTCATAAAGGAATTATAGTATAAGAAAAAAAATTATTTAATGAAAAATGAATTTTAAGAAATTAAATTCATTTTCTTTCATTATTTCTTTTAGGATTTTTTTCATCAATTTCTTTTTATATTCAAACGTGTTTTTCATATAATCCTACTTATTTTTCACATTTTTTTTCTACAGTGAATTGGTGCAATAAGATTATTAATTAAGAGCGAATTTGGTGTTGTAGTGCAGATGAGATAAGTGAGTGCAGATGATAAGTGCAGGAAGCTAGCCAGGATGCAGGGCAAATGTAAAGGAAAGTTCAAAGGAAATGCTTTATTATGCAGCACTTGCTACATTAAACAGTTAATTAAATGCTGTTTGAATACATACTTAAATTAAACATATATACTTTTTATACCCTTATATATGATATCGTTCATATTTGTAGCAAATACAAGGAGATAATATCTTCTTTTATTTACCATATAATTGCATATAAAAAGTAATGGTGATTTAATATTAAAAATATTTAAACATTAAAAATGATTTTTCTTTCAATAAAATTTTAAAAAAGTGATTGAGGATATAACTCTTAACTTAATTAAAAAGGGGAAAAATTAAAATAATTAAAGCTATATTGATGTTAAAAAAATATATAAAAAGTTTTTTCTAAATAATACACTTTAAAATAAATGAATATAAATGGTTAATCAGTATAAGAAATTACAACTATTTTTTTTATTTTATTTTTATGTAGAAGTATATTAAAAGCTTCAGTAAAAAAAATTTTTTTTAGTCAAAAATATTAGAATTCAGGCGAAATAATATAGTCCACACTGATAAAACAAAACGTTATAATAATATAGCAAGATTCTTATATTAGAAAGACATTGAAAGCTTCACCATCAATTATGAAAAAATTCTGCATTGGAGATATAATCCATGTCCTTTGGATTATGATCGCTTGATTGATATTGATATTGAATTATGAGAAAAAAAATTCAAAAACGTTATACTTATTGATATTGCTATGGCTGTGACAAATAAGTTTGGATAAACTAACTACAAAAAGAAGAAAAAAGCTACTCAGAATTAGCAACAGAAATGGAAAGTATATGGAACTTAAGTGCTATAATACTACAAATCACTTATTGTGTCAGGATTATAGTACACAAAAATCTAAAAGACGAGAGAACAAGATTAAAAACACCTAGTGATAGCAATTTATCGATAGTTCTGTTTATCGATAGCAGGCAATAGTTTTTCTAAACTGCCGACAAAGAATTTTAGAGGCTATTAATTTTAGACGTTAAATTTTCAAAAGTATCGATTGTAAATGATAATAGATGAATATTTTTAAAATCATACTTGCATTATCTTTGTATGCAAATTACACAATTTGCAATAGCTTAAAAAAATTTTTGTTAGTAAGAGTTAGTTTTAAAAAATTATCCCTCTTAGACGATAGCTTTTTAAAACTTTGACGATAACAGACGACAGTTTTTGAAGTTCTAATTGGACTATAAAAATCAATCGTTTTTCGTGGCTCATGTTAGGATTAGTTCTCAAGAATTATCGTTTTTACATGATAGTTTCCTAAAACTGTAAACAGTAGGCGATAAAAGATGAAAGTTTTTTGAAATGTACCATAACAGGCGATAGTTATTAGAAACTATCATTAGCAAACGATATTTTAGTTAGTAAATACTTTTAATTACAAATGCTTGTGATTTAAAACTATGGATACCTTATATTGAACTACTGATAACTATTGATGGGATAACGATGATCACAACACTTCGAATAGTGAAATTTTGAAAACAAATTAAATGAATGTCTACTAAATAGACAACAAAATGTGGATGATAAATCTTTGGATATTTTACGATGTCAACAAAGTTTTTTAAAATTTATTTCCTACAAGTAAATAGAGTCTACTTCCGAGAGACAATAGAAAGGTAGATTTTTCTCTATGTCCAAATGGGTGGTGATATTTCTATATATGTATCTGACAATATAAAAAAAAATATGTCACTCTTCATTTCTGTACTGAATAGAATTCATTACTGTGAATATAGCCGACACTACAGCCTAAAAGCCAAAGTTGAAGTGTCTATTTATATTATAAGTCTAAATAATATTAGTAACGACTGTAGTTTTTTGTTAAAGGTCTAGAGGAAACATATGATATTTTAAAATGAACTTTGGTAGTAACAAACAATTTGAAACTATCCATTATATCGACAGTACTATTGATAGTTTGCCAAGGCTACCTTGTGGAGATACGATTTTCTGTAAAAGATAGAATATGCAGACATCTGGTGATCAAGCCCGTAGATAGAAAATTATTTTGTGAGGTTGGCTTTCAGATACTTTCAGTTATTTTAAATAATTTTTATTTCAAGAAACAATAAGGACACATTAATAATAAATATACTCGTAGATATGTACATAAAAAGTCCTTCAATGTATTTTGGAGAGCAAAAAAAAATGAATTAAAAAAATAATAAAAACTGTTGTAATTAAATTTCTTAATTAGAATTGAATTAAATTATTTATATTATAACTTAGTTTTGTAGTAATACCCACTGTTATTACATATATAGATTTATATTTAGTTCTATATATTGTTTTGAATAAAATTTAAAGTGTAGACTAACAGCATTGAATTAACTGTAAAGTAAAGTATTAAGTATTTGGGCAGCAAAAATTATATAGTTATATGTGGTATATAAATATATATATTATAAATAAGTGCATTTAACATTTAAACAACATTCAGTAATATATACAGATAAAATCAACACACTATTTATAAATCAGAAAAATTCTATAATGAAAATAAATTAAATTAAAATATTAATTCAATATAAAAACTTATAATGTAATAATCATGTAAAATAATATTTTAATTCAATAAAATTATTAATTACTATTTTTAAAATATTGTCATACTATCTTAAAAAAGAAAAAATATAATATAACTAAATTCATAACTTAATAAAAGCATATAAATACATAAGAATGAATTAAATATTGCAATAAGTAAGAGAAAATAAAAAGAAAATAAATTAAGTATTATATATATGAAAAATAATTTGGCTTAACAAAGTTTCATTTTGTTTTTTTTTTCGTTGTTTTCTATGCAACAGACCTGGCTTTGATCGAGACGACTTTGCCGCCGACCGGCATATTTTCCTTGACATAAATCGGCCCATAGACGGTATGGTCCCAGACGGGCGGATTGTTGGCGCGATCGACAACATCGATTTGCACCTCAACGGTACGTGACAGCGGTGGGTAGCCTTTATCTTGGGCCATGGCCTCTAATTTGTAGGTTTCACGCTGTTTTTATATTGATTTTTTTTTTGTTATTTGTTTTTTATTTTGTGCATTTTTATTTAAATTGTTTTTATTTTATTTTTTTTTTTTTTTTTTTTATATAAAATTTGACGCAATTTTTTTTTCGTTCCAAAATTTATATTTAATTCAAAAAAGTTTGTTTTTTATATTTTTTGTTTTGTTTTTTTTTGTGTTTTATTTTTGTTATTGTTTTTGATTTATACAAAATTAAGCGTTGCAAAAACAGATTACAAAACGTTGTTGGGTTTTGAAATAAAAAGAGCAAAAAACAAAATTATGACTTTTTTGTTAAAAGTTGTAGTTAAATTTGTTATAATAAATATATATAATATATTCAGGTTATATTTATATATAATAAATATATGAAAATTAAAAAAAAAATATTAAAAGAAATATTTATTTATTTTAAGTTAATTAGAGAAAGCTTAAAAAAATCATTTGTTTTTATATTTTTTTTTTACCAACACCAATCAATTTTGTTGTTGTTATTTTTTTTGTATATTAATCTGCAAAATACCTAAACTACTAAAAAAAATATTTTTATATTTTTCTTACTTTGCTTTGAAACACTTAACGAATTCAATTTCTTATACATATAGTTTCAGAAATGGTTTCAAATTTTTTGTATTTTTAAATAAAATTTAAAAATTATCTAAAAAAAAATTTAAAAAATAAATCATATTTTAATATAAAACAAATTATTTTTTATTTGTTTTATTAGTAAATGACGCAAAAATTGTTAAAAACTTTTTCTTATCTTTTTCCTTTTGTACTCTTATTGGTTTATCATTTTTATAGGCAGTGCAAATAATTTTTATATATATAAATGTATATATATGCTTACATATGTACGAGTAGATTGTTTTTATTTTTATATTTTGTTTTTATATAAAGTCTCGATCCTAGCCCTTTGATTTTCTTCTTTCAATAATACCATTGATTAGAGTTTAATTGTTTAAATAATATATAATCTTAACATAAATTAACTTAATTGTAAAATAAATTTTAAAATGACTAATACTTGACAAAATACGAAAAATATTTATAAAACGAATTTATCTTATAAACTTAAATTTAAAAATTTATTTTAAAATTAAAATGAATTCCAAAACAAACTCTACTAAGCTGTCAGTTCTAATATTCAAATTATAAACTAAAATTTATTTTTTTTACCTTCTAGTGATTATTTTGAGGAGCTACAATCAAAAATATATTTAAATTGGGACTATATATCATAAATAGGATTGTGTGCAGATTGTTACTACTAACCACGGACATACTTTTAGCTTAGGTAAACCTAGACTTTTAAGCGCTAAATCTCTTTTATGTCCACTCTCTCCTAATTATTAAAAAAAAGTTTTCCACACTACTCTCAGTGGTCAGTGGTAGAAATCTGTGTTCATTCCCAAGAGTAGGACACAGTATCACACTGTGACTGTCGATGCCTTTCACCCACCAAAAAAAAAATTTCTTTTCCTAGGCTAAACTTTAACGCCTTAAAGCATTGTAAACATAGACAAAATAGATAAGTAGCTACTAGTGCTCGAAAATTAATGCATGTGTCTTTGGGAGTTGACCTAGAAAGTGTTAGTAGGTATTTAAAAATGTGTAAAAGTAGGGACTATTCAAGATGCAAAACCAGAGACTCAGGTGTGGAAGTTGACCGAAAAACCACACCAGATTCTTTCAAATCCGTTAGTAATATGTTGACTTGAACCACGAACTGTATGAGCAATAACACGACATTGGTATAATTCAGCGAATTAACACCCGGCGGGTTCGCTGGCTTGGTCATGTCGTGAGAATGGATGTAGATACTCCAGCGGAAGAAGATGTAGAGGTAGTCCGTGTCTCCGGTGGAGTGATCAAGTTGAGAGCGCACTAACTGGACTTGATGTACGAGACTGGAAAAGCCGCGTACGCAGCAAAGGCGACTTGGGAGACATGCTGCGGCCAAATAAGTAAGTAAGTATGCTATGCTAACTAAAAATCTACGTAGAGTTCTTGTCCCAACTGGTATCGGTAATAGGTCCATATACAGCTTACAACTAACCAAATTAAGCTAACCTATTACTGATTCACTAATAATTATTTATATATATTAAATACATTTTCGTAAACTATATTGTATAAAATTCACTTATTAATTTTGCTTGTATATTTTTAAATAAATATTTTTCGCATTTTGAATAAAATGTTGGATTAAAATGTTTAATAAAATGAACTTTATTAATGAATTAAATGATAATTAATGAAATGCTGAACTGATGAACTGACGAACTGATGAAGTGATGAACTGACGTATTCGACAGCACATATTTCACAGGTCAACAAAAGAGTTTTTAGCCAATTTATGAACTTCAAACTAAACACAAATTGAAAACAATGAAAATGCATTTTAAATGAAAATAATATCGTACTTAGGTTTAGTATCTGGTAATAAGCAAACTAATTAGAGCAAAAACGTTATTAAAAATTAATTTAAAATGAGCAAATTAGTGCGAACTCAGCAAGAATTTCCATGTAAAAAATTAATTAAAATGCAACGAAATGAGCACGAAACCAAACACTAAACAAAATTAAGGCTAAACCAGGATTTGTGCATTATTATATATTTATCGATAATTGATTATAGTATATATATATATTTTTTTTTTTTTTTTTTTTTTTTTGTGGTATATATAAGTACTGTACTTTGCATACATTAAATATTTTATTAGCAATATTAATTCATTTAAATTATTTTATTAAATTAAATTGGTTTTCATATAATTTTCCTATTGTTGTTGTTATTTTGTTTTTGTATCAATTGTTTTTTAACATTTTTTTTTTGTTTTTGTAATTTTAGTTGTGCAGACTTAAACTGCATTTTGTTGTTGTTAGCAATTACCTGGGCGCTTGGATGCTAGTTTCCTAAAGCAGATGGACCATAGATTGCTTAAAATTAAAATTTAGTTAATATGAACTTTCACCTCTTAGTATTAAACTTTACCATATAGTAACACTAATAGATTGCATAGCACATAGATATGTGACACTATATGTGTTACTATTATTTGTTGTTAGCGAAATAAAAAATTTAGTTGTCGAATTCAGTTGAGTAGAAAAGAGTAACCAACACCGATTTTGTACAGCCAATTGCGCCTAACACTGCGCTAAAAGTCTGTTTTATGTTAAATAATAAAATATATTTCTCAGTGTATTTGTACAGGTAATTAGTTGAGTTTTGTCGTGGAACTGCTAAGGTAGTAACAAATAATTTGGCGGGATTTGCAGTGGAGTTCGAATTCTATTTGTTAATTTTTTTGTTTTTTTTTGTTGTTTTTTTGTTTTTGTTACTGAAAAATGTTTAAGGGAATTGCAACCAATTAAAATCATTGTTAATTTGATTTTTTGGGATTTCTTTGGTTGTAGGAATTTAAAGAAATTTTAACATTTAAAGTCAAAATTCAAAAAAAAAAACCGTAAAACTCCAACGGTTTCACGTGTGATGAAAAAATTGTTCATTTACAATAGATTTCACTTCAAAAACTTATTTGCAAAATATATCGTATGCTTGTGGTGTTGCAAAAACTGCGCGAAAAATATTTTGTTGACTTAGCAGATACACGAATGTTTCTTACTCCCAACACCAAAACTTAACACCAAATAAATTCATAAATTCGCAATAGTCGCAGTAATCATCATCACATATTCACACACACCATGCTAAGTGTAAACACTACTTAACTGTGATGATTACAAAAAAGTACGCAAGTACGCTTAACACTAAGGGAATTCACAAAAAATATTCCCCATATTTCCATTTAAGTATAAATATTTAAAATAGATCTTAAGTAAAAAAAATAGCAACATTAATTCAACATTTTAATGTTATGTTTTCGTTAAAAACTGTTACGTTAACATTAGCAGAGTTAGTAAATTTATAAAATTTATAAAACGCATAATTTTGCATAGCACGTACGTTGTAGACTGACGTTTTAGCCAATTACAGTTTCTGTTAATATGACTGCTATAACGTATAGCAAAACTAACTTATGTACTAAATGTACTAAATATGTACTAAATATTTGTTGGCAGTAGAGCACAGATTATATAAGGATATATGTAAACTGTTAGTATTACTCCTAAATGTATGTTATTGTATTACCGTAAAATGTGTGTGCATGTGTGTTAATACAAACCTTGCCTTAACCGATGTTACAACCGTACCCACAGTGACATTTTCACGTATATGTATTGGACCGTAAATGCTTCTATCCCAAATTGGTGGCTTGTTATTTCTATCGACGACATCTAATTCAACTTCAACGTCAGCGTACGACGGTGGGTCACCTCTATCCGAGGCACGCACCCGCAAACGATAACGGTCACGCTGTATGTTACGAGCGTTACAAGCGTTACGAGAATACGTTTCAGCGTATTTCGATAATTTACGTTATGTTAAGTGTGCATAACGTGAAATGTTGTATTATCGTAAAAATTTTAACGTAAAATATACGTTGGAAAAATATTATGCAATGTAAAATCGTGTGGAGAACATTTTTACGTGATTTGGTGCGTTTTTGTACGACGCATACGTTTGTTGTTGACGTTGTTGGTTGATTTTATTTTTTAAACAAATTAAGTTTTGTTTTTATATAAATAAAAGTAAAAGAAATAAAATATTAAATTAATTAAAAAAATTTAAATTTAAATCGAAATTCAAATTGTAATTGAAATGCAATAAACAAAATTATTATAAGTTCACACTAAAATACTTGTTAGTTTCATTCGAAATTTTGTGATTAGCTGTTATTTTATAATAAAACACTAAATTTTAGATTTGTTAAGAATAAAAACATTTTCTACTAAATTTCGAGCCTTAATGAATTTTTGTTAGATATGACGAATTTTTTATTTTAGGTTATGTGTTGATATATTGTATCATCATCAGGTATCATCAGGAGTATACATACAATGAGAGATTATTTGTTGCAAGCATGTAAGAAAATTAGCTGCCGAAGTAGGATCTTTGTTGTTTACGAGCGCAATTGTTCACTTAATATAAATCACCTATTTATTTTTTCTATACCTGTATATGGGTTATAAAAGAAACAGATTTTGTATTACTAATAGTTCTCGCAGTTTGCACTTTACATTACTAGTTGATATTAAGAGCTAATATATCTGCTTCACAGAAAAAAAGACAGATCAAAACACATTCATACCTAATATCAACCATAGAATCAAATCAAAAACTTAAATACTTATGGTTCAAATAAAATTTATTTAACATTTTCCACTATGAAAATTTAAGCAGCCTAAAACTATATGAAATTTATTTATTTTGGTTTGAGATATTGCTATTCACCATGTATTTTTATGTAATGGTATGGCTTAAGCGTACGCTATACTGAAATACTTGACATTTTTCAAAGTGAGTGTTGACTAATCACCACAAACAGTTAACTTAACTTACTAATGTATTTGAGAAATACGTTTGGATCTGAGAATCATATTATCACTGCAACCAAATACCGTTTTACCATAATACAATATTACACAGACCGTATAATAATAATACGGTCTTTTTTGAGTTGAAAAAGGATATAGCGAAGAATTTTACCATTTCACCGACGAAGGGAAGACTATTTTTCATTGATATGACATAAAATGCAGATATACAGACACCGATAACATCTGGTCATCCAAAACTCATAAAATAGTTCTGAATTATATAAAATATTTTTATAATTCGAATAATTTTAGAATATTATGGAGTATATAATATCATTAAAAATGGATCAATATTACAAGGATATATTTTATTTATTTACAGACTTTAAGCTACTTAAGATTCCTTAAAGACGGGATTTTTTATTCAAACCACAATAGAGTTTGGAATACCCAATCAATTGACTAACGGTATAAGCACTAATATTAATACAATCAGATGCAGAGTAGCGTAAAAATCTAACCCGCTCTGTAATTGAAACTCAAATCTGTGTATATATATATATATATATAAATTCTCTTCCAAGTAATTCTACATCTTTGGAATTATGCTTTACGTACTATACTTTCTATAAATGGTGTTTGCTGGTATCTGTTAACAGAAGAAAAGGCACAAAAATAACTTTTGTGTCACTATTATGGCTAGCGCAAGTCCATATTTAAACGTATACGCTCTCTATTCTTTAACGCTATCAACAGAAATTTCAACAAAAATATCTGCCGTATATTAGCGTCGTAAGTGTCGTAAGATTTTTGTTAAATACCTGACTTTCTCCAAAATATTCTAGAGTCCAAAGGTATGTGAACTCTAGAAGGTTTTCTGACTTATGGAATAGATATAACATCTTTTCAATATTGCAAGGAATGTTGACTCAGAATGAAATTTCAACTTATAGAATAGGTTCGATCCCTACACAATATTGCAAGGAATGTGATCTCTGTTATGTTATGATGTTATTTTCTGCCTTATGGAAAAGGTTTGATCACTACTCAATTTTTAAAGTAATGTAAGCTCTAGATGGCTATCTACAGCTTATGGAATTTATTTGACCCCTACCCAGTATTGCGAGAAATAAGGAGTCTTGTTGGTTATATAGTTTATAGAATAGATTTGATCGAGTCAATATTACACGGAATGTGAACTCACGAAAGCTTTTTGAATTGTAAGATAAATTCGATCCCTTTCCACTTTATCTACCTATCTACCCATCAATATAATTCACCACATCAATTTCTGTTATTACAAATGGGATTCGTGAAAATTATTGATTCATATTTTATTTATATCACTAAAACATTCAAATCGATGTCTTTCTCTCCTGATAGTTGTTAGTCTACTTGTAAGATATTTAAGATATGTAAAATTTGTTCCTTATTATTGTTGTTGTTGCTTTTGTAATTTTTATTATATAAAAATTTAAGTAACTTTTTTATGTTCATAATTTAAGTTTGTATTAAAAAGAGTCCTAAGTGAACAATTGTACCCCTCACAACGCGTATTCCTACTATCAGCGCTCGAATGCAATGCACCGATGTGGATGTGTTCTGTGTGTCAAGAGTCTAGCGTATCTTTTTATATGAGAAAAGAGTTGAGAGTGGTAGAAATGATGATTTATGGGTTTGTTAGCACACAACGAGAAAATTATATGCTTCGAATGAAAAATGTGCGTGTAATGGGACTGGTACTGTTATGGTTACTGTTACTGGCACTGGTACTGGAAATGGAAGTACTAGTAGTTCTGAGTATACAAGTTTTAGTCAAGTTAAAATTGCAGAGCTTCACAGAAACGCACAGAGTTATTATGATTTTTGCATGTTGGATATTTTCACTTGGCTAGCGAAATAGAAATAGAAATATGTGAGCTGAGATATTTTTACTTACAGGATAGCAACCCTTTTTTCGTGAATTTTTTTTTATGCGATAATTTACGCGATTTTGGTTTCATTCAATTTTTTTTATTTTTTTTTTTGCATTTGAACGTTGCATATTTATTCGCATAAACAAGATTGTTTGTTTTTTTTTTTTGTTGTGTGTGAATTTTTGTTAACGATTTTTTGTGGTTTGTAGTTTGTTTTGTAAAAAAACCCCAGAGGCACCCAAGTTGCGGTACGTTTTGTATATGAAACAATAAAGAAAATATTTTTTTAAGTTTAGAACGTAGAGGATAAAGGATTTTTAGCGTACTAAAACTAAGCTTTGAATAGATTCATCTTACATTTCTCAACGCACACTCACTATTTTGTTTTTTATGTATTTTATAATTGATAATAAAAGTTTTTCGAAACTAAGAACGAAGAAAAATAAAACTAAATATATAAAGTAACATACAATACATAAAATGTAAAAAAATTTAAAAAATTTAAAGGTGCAGTTAACATAAGATTTTAAAACTATTACTTTTAATATAATTTACTTATGCTTTTTAGAACGCCTAAATAAAAATTTGATAAATATTTGTATATGCGTTGTGAGGCGATAGCAGCGGTTTCGTATTTTGGCAATAATTTATACAATCTCAGCTAAATTCAATCAGTTACGAATATGTATGTATGTATAAGGGTATATATTTTAAAATATATATATATATAGATATTGAAGCATTATAATCGTTATGCATGCTTTTTAAGTATGCCCGTTTCATTTGCATTTTCCAATATTTTTCAATATTTTTCAAATGTACAAATTCACACAAAAAATCGTATATGGAAGGTTGACGGAGGAGACTTTCAAAAATAATTCAGTCTCCAAACCAAACCAAAACCAAAAAAAACCATGAAATTCACAAAATTTATGCAGTTTATTCTAGCTTGCTTTTGGGCGCAAAGGTAAATTTCTCATGTGATTGGTTGATAGTGGTTATATATCAACACGGTTGTTTTTTTTTCTAAATTTGCAAAAAAATGATACACTTCAAAAAATGATACACTTGAAAAAACGATATATTTGAAAAAATAATACATATGGAAAAAATATGCACTTGTTTGAAAAATAAATTTATACAAAAATTTATACAAAAATTATACACAAAAATATTATACACAAAACTGTGAAAAAAAAATCCAACACGTTTTCAGTGTAGTCAAAAATACGTTACGACGCTCAAAAATATATTTGATCGTACAAAAGTTCTTCGTGGTTGTATTCTAATATATATAATATACTTTGTTTAAATAATGTATTTATCATAAATTGTAGTTGAAATTTTTTGTAAAAAATGTTTATGTATGTTTATGTAAAAATATTCTTTCAGTTTTTTTATAAAATATATATTAGGTGATTAATCAGATTTACATTATGCTGGTACATTATGCTTAACGTAGGGTGAAAAATGTCACTCTTTAAGCCCTTTATTTTATTGTAGCTGCCCACAAATAAAAATTAATTAATAATTTTGTAGTTTATATATAAGCAATGTTTTTAATTAATTTTTTATACCTTCATATAGTGGTTAGTAAAAAATATGCTAACTAATTTAAATGACTTTTGTGAAATATTAACCCTTTATACCAGCAATTAAGCATATTGTTGTATGAGCTAAATTTTTTTCTTCAATAAAAAGTGTGAACGTTTTTTTTCGTATAAAGCATTTGTAAGTTTAAAGCCTTAAGTTGCAAAAATTGTAAAACCAAAGAACCGTTTTGATTATAAGCATTTAAAGAACGTTGGAAAAAATGTTAAAAATCAATTTTTAATTAAATTTTTGCCAATTAAAATTTTCTTAAATTTATTGAGTTATTAATTTTCCAGATTGCTCACTTCATGGTGATATTTCTAATACTATAAACTAAACAAAAATTTAAATGAAAATATTTTAAGTTTTCAGAACTTAAAAAAATGTTATTTTACTGTTTTTTTCTTCTTTTGAATTAGACCAATTCGATCATATGTTTTTTTAAAACCAGTTTTTATACCATTTCAAAAAAATTTGCACTGCTTACATGAATCAGAAGAATCCATTAATTCATTCAAACTAATTACGGCTTTTATATATTGTTTTTGCTACTATTATATGTTTAAAATATTTTTAAAATTATATATATTTTACACATTTTTAAAATTTTGCGTAAATAAACTATTATATAAATTTATAGCTACGTTAAATTTAATTTTAACTGAAAAAGGTGCACAAAAAAACTGAAAGACTATGAAACTCAAACTTAAACTAAAAAATTTTTTCTTTATATTTATACAAAAAATAGTAGACATTTATTAACAAAATAAAATATAAAAACTGTTTAACGAAAAATAATAAAATTAATTAAATTAATTTTTTTGATAACAAATTTTGCCTAACTACATACCTCATGTGTTAGCAAAATAGTTGATTTTTTTTTATTCCAAACCACTTAAGTATACATTAAATGCATTTGTTATATATATATATGGTTTATATGTATATATTTCATATATGTTACTAAAACATTAACCTCTTACTTGGCAACGTGTCTCATTTGCACAGTTTGCATTAATATTTCAGCTAGCCTAACTAACCTTAGCCTACAAACTAATCTCGTCTATTAATTCTTAATTTAATTTTTCTTGGGGTTAGTAATTTCAACTAAAAAATTAAATAAAAACTTTTAGCCCATCATATAGCTCATTGGTTAGTATAAGTTTTAAAAAAATTTTATTAAGAATTCAAAATAAAAACTGTATATAAAAAAAAAATGAAATTAGAAATAAATTTTAAACTGAAAAGCGGGCATATAATTAAATATGAATTAGAAAGTTTTAGCTAGCGAACACTTACGTCAAGTGGCTTCTTCAACACAATCCAACCGGATTCAGCTTGTATATCGAAATATTCCAAATCATTGGGATTGAATGGTGCACTCAAACTATAAACAATAGCGCCATTATTATCAGCATCTTCATCGGAGGCAGATACACGTAAGATGTTTGTACCAATGCTGGCATCCTGCTTAACATTTTCAACATATTTCTGTGAAAAAAAGGGGGCGGTAAAAATACAACCATTCCTGACATGAACTCAATATTCTTATACTTACTTGTCGATCAAACAATGGAGGGTTATCATTGACATCAGTTATTTCAACAGTGAAAGAGCAAACACCTTCCAAGCTGGGCTCACCTTGATCGGTTGCTTTGACGGTGACCGAGACAAATTTGCCATCATCACCTTCACGATCGAATACTTTGTTAGTGGACACCTCACCAGTTTCTTCATCAACCGTAAATTTGGTACCCTTTTGATTGGGTTGCTGCACAATGGAGTATTTGACCTGCAAATGTAATGGATATGTAGCGGAATGTGATAAAATTTTTTGGCTTATAAATTTGTTTAAATTAAATTAAATTTAGTTTGAAACATTTAATGAAATTGATAAGTAACGTCAACAAAAATTAAAATCAAAGCAAACGTACAAATTAGAGCTTGTAATAATATTCAAATGATTTGAAACTTTGCACATTTTGAATTTCTAGGTTATATGGGTTCAAGCATTTTCATGATGGAGTACATTCCTGTCAGAGTATATTGATGTTAAAACATGTTTATGCGCCAACATTTTGATATTTGGGTATAATAAAACTCCCTTCTTCTATTTCTACTTGATGAAACACAAGTTAGTGCCTAAAACACCTGACTCAATAGTCTCAGTGATCACTTGGATGATTCACTATAACAAAAGCTCCGTTAATGCCTGACAATAAGTTATTCAGATGTTTTTATAGAAGTTTACTACAAAACCCAGTACAGCTCTCTGAGGGAATATATATTGCATTTGATTTGAGAGAGTGCAATTCTGAATCAGTGTGCGCATTCATAGAATCGATAAGTTTCAGCGCTCTAAGTTTAATATATTCTCATAAATCAAAAATATTTATGATAATATTTGTCCCAACGGCACTCTGGATGATACTTTGAAGCACTAATGGATACTAGGTAGGCTATTTTCAATAAAATGTGTTTGCTTGTAGTAGATTATAAAGAGTGAAACATTATATATATATTATTTCAGTCATTTAATAAAATATATAGAAATCCATTTTGCATTATATTAGCAATAGACAATAGATTGACAAGACTTCCAAAATTCATAAGCATGTGAAATATATTTAATGATAGCTTACACATCAACTAAAACTATATTGCAAGCTGCTCTCATCTCTCCCATTTTAATAGTACAATGAAATTAAAACACATTCTAGTTTTAATTGCGGTGATGAGGTTACTACAAAACCACTTGCATCCACATACGCAAATCTGATAATACAGACGTTGACTTTAAATATATTAGATTGATTAATTGTTAAGTATTACTTTTGTCACACTAGATAAATTTAGGCGTGTGAAAACTTATGTGTACGAACTTTCTTAGATTGTATGTACATTAAGACTGAAAAGTTTTCGGAAATTCTCATTTAAAATTCGCGCGCTGTATATTTTTCGATATTTTAAGTTTATGTAGTTTGGCAGCACTGTCCTTAATTACTATGCCAAAAATGAGCGCGATCTGTCAGACAGTTCGTTTACGGCAGCTGTTGAAACCAGTTCACCTCAGTAGTGCGTTGCGAAATGTCTTCGACGGTCGTACGACCGTCCTGAAAGGCTTTGTACCACTCATAAACTTGAGTTTTCGATAAAACTGATTCCCCATAAGCCTTTTGTAGCATTCGCAACGATTCTGCACACGAAATTTCGTTCGAAACACAAAATTTGATGCAAACTCTTTGTTCAATATTTTTTTCCATTGTTTTTTTCGCAACGCCCTACTGAGGTGAACTGGTTTCAACAGCTGCCGTAAACGAACTGTCTGACAGATCGCGCTCATTTTTGGCATAGTAATTAAGGACAGTGCTGCCAAACTACATAAACTTAAAATATCGGAAAATATACAGCGCGCGAATTTTAAATGAGAATTTCCGAAAGCTTTTCGGTC